CCTCAGAAACCCAAGGAGGGGTTGCTATGAGTCGGGGCCGACTCGACGGCAAATAACAACAACAACATGTATATGAATATGACTTCATATGCTTATGTGTACTTATTTATATTTGCACATACAAAGAAAATGCCTGAAAAGATACCCCAAACAGAAAGCAAAGTTGGGAGGAAAGGGTAATTTTACTTTTCACTTGCACACTTCTATCCCATTTAATGTTTTACAAAGTACATATATGCTCTGATAAATATTAAAAGAAATATGTCCCAGGGGTGGGTAGGGCACCCTACCTGGCAGAGTTTGAAGATAAGGTTGTAGGTCAGAGGTCACTGACTTCTGGACCATTTCACAAATCTGAAAAAGAACGGAAAGCAAAGGCCTAGTGAGCTGCTCAGCTTTGGCCTGGTGCTGTGCTGCTTACATCTGTCACCTTAGTTCACACACTCGCTCGCTGGCCATTTTATCTACAAATATTTGTAAGAGCTTATTATACGCCAGATACCGAAGACACAGAAACAATAAAAAACATATAGACTGTGGCCTCCTAGAATTTAGAGTTTAACAGCAGAACTAGACATTAAATAGAACTAGTCACACAAATAAATGTAGAATGAATGCAGAAACTTCTTAATGATCATCTCATGACAGGTTGGCTGGATTAATCGCAGTTCCCATCTTCCGGGTGTCAAGGAACACTGAGTGCTTGCATCTAGTAGGCCACTCACACGCAGTAGGTACACACAGTATGTTGCCACCAAGTGACCTGAATCTTCCCATGAGAAGGTAATGTGTGTTCCCAAACCTGTTTGTTGCACTTCCTATCGTAATCACTTGAATTATTTATTATATAGACCAATGCAACATGACTGAGAACAGAGGTGTTTCTATGAAAACCTACCATAAGTGCTGTGGAAAGGTGAGGCGCTGTACAAACATGCTGTTAAATATGGTGTGCATCAGACCAAAGAAAAGTTTCAGAGAAAAAAAAGCATAAAACTCTAGGAGGACGCTGCCCTGCAATTGCTTTGCAAATGTCTTTACATGCAATGCAATGGCAATTAACAGATGATTTTCAAAGAATAGCTCTGGGCCCCTACATCAAAAAATGACAAATTAATTTATGTGCTGTTGTCAGCTGCCGTGACATCTGTGTTTAAAAATATTTAGGATTTATATGTAAATATTCTTTTTGCTTATGTGTGAAAAGGAGAGTCCTTATTTTAGGGATCTTTTCTGATGAACCAGCTACCTCTTGCAAAGTATGTACTTGTTTTTACAAAACTTAAAAGAAATATGTCCCAGGGGGTGGGTAGGACCCACATATAGGATGAAGGACAGGGACATGGGGGTCCCTAGGTTATGCAATGGGACCCTGGCCTCGTATGGGGGTCATAGGTGGCTTCTCTGAAAAGGTGATATTTTAAAGTCAAGTTAAATGTCATTAAGGAATGCTGGTGGGGAATGGTTAAGCACTTGACTGCTAACTGAAAGGTTGGCAGTTCAAACCCACCTAGCAGTTCTGTGGGAGGAAGAGCTGGTGATCTGCTCCTGGAAAGATGAGAGCCTAGGAAACCCTATGAGGCACTCTGTCAGTGGGGTTGCAATGAGTCCAAGCTGACTCAACAGCACCTAGCAGCAGACAGCTGATCAGGCATACATCAAGCCCAGGACTTGTGCAGACAGGATATGCTGGGGTTTGGGCAGACCAAGGGTTAAATCTTAACCTCCCTTTGTAGCCTCCCAGTTTCTGCAGAAGGAGTTTTTGGTAGAGAGGAGCTGCCAGAGGCCAGGAAAAGGGGTAGGGTATAACATTTATGGTTGATTTCAAGGGAAACCGGGAACTCCACTGGCCTCGCCCAAGGCTGTTCCTTGTTTTTCCTTCAACAGTGGCCCATCAGACCATCCCAAAGGCCCAGAGCCTGGAAGCCCCATCCCTTCAGGGACCTGAATGGTGAGAGGAGGTGTCAAGTGGCTCAGACACCCAGCAGGGCTTCTCAGCGAGGTCTGTTGGAAAGGTGATTAGAGGGTCAGCAGGTAAGTTGAATGAGCCTGGGTCCAAATCCCATCATTTAGTCCCACTAGCTGTGTGACCTCTACAGAGCCTCTCTCTGCTATGGGGTCCTCATCCACTGGACACAATGACAAGGCCAGGCACTTCCAGGGCTTTTTGAAAGGACTGAGGAAGATGAGACAGTCAGCATCCATCACCCAGGGAGCAAGCGCTGAGTAAGTGCATTTTAGGTTTACTGCTGTCAGTCCCTGCTGGTTCACACACCGTGTCTGCTCTGATATGGTGTTAGAGAATTAGAAAGGCCCTATGCCAGTCTCTTTGTCTTCTAGGAGAAGAGAATTTCTGAAGAGAGACACTCAGACACGCATCCTGATAAGACCTGGGTACAAGGAAGTTCAAATCCCGACTGAGCCCCTCTCCAGCAAGTGATGTCACCTCTCAGAGCCTCCTCTATCAAATGTGGAAAATGGTACCTGCTCCGAGACTGTGGTTAGGATTCAATGGCCTACACGTATAAAGTGTTAAGCACACTATCCCTGGGCAGACAGCATCTCAGAAAATAGCAGCCATTCTTACTATAAATAAGAATAATTTTACAACAATATATTCTGAATCACATTGTTTCTATTAACTTATCAAAACAATAATTACCAGGGTAACTTATTACACTGGTAATTATGATTAATTGTAATGTATTACTGTTGTTATATACTATTATTATATATCATTATTATCACCAACATCAAGAAGGGAGTACAAATCCACACAGCTGAACAGGATTATGTACCACTCAGAAAGCATAGAAACGTGGCAATGGGATATCTGAAAAGGAGATTGGCATATTTCCTGAGCTCACCTGGACCCCAGGGACCCAGAACCAGAAAAGGAACAGAGGGCAGCTTGCTACCTCAATCTATGAGATCTGTTGGTCATTCCTCTTTTAACCACTAGAGGGCACTCGAAGGCAAAACAGAAGTTGGGGGAGGGGGTAGAGAGGGGAGGGAGAGCAAGTTTCCTCCTTTTCTTCTCCATTGCTTTCTCCCTTTGCACTTCGAGTCATTGCTACAGTCACAGCTCTGGGTGTTCAACACCTCAGAAATGAGATTTTGGAGTGAAATGAGTTATTTTGGGGAACTGAGGGTTACCAGGAAATCTCTGTTTTAGCCAGGGATTATGAGATTTGGAGATTTCTCTATCCATCTGTCTATCTGTCTATCTATTTATCTATCTTTTTTAATGGGAAGATCTGACATAGTGTTGATGCCTCCCATCTAGAGTGGGTTCTCACAAGCTTGTCCCAGTTCCCACCTGGCCCCTGGCTATTCCCAGAGTTACCTGCCGGGTCTCTCTGCAGGCACCTGAGCAATGATGTCCTGTTTGGCCTTCCTGGAATGCAGAGCAGGGTGGGGCAGTGGACAAGGCCAAGCATTCTCTGCCTAGCTGGACAGACGGGGAGTCTGTTTAAGCCCCCAGCTTTGCTGTGTAGCAGCTCTGCCAACTTGGACAAACAGTTTGTCCTTTCTGGGCTTGGGCCTAAGTAGGTCTGAAACAGCGGCCATGGGTAGTTCAAGACCAGAGGTTGGTGAGGGCTTCTGCCCAGTCCTCACGTGGCTAAGTGGACACCCAGAGGCTTGGACCTTCTTACCTTACTCTCCAACACTTTTCTGAACTTGTGCTCGATCTGGCTGTGGAAGAGATTCAGCAGCCAACTGGGGAAGGAACCACAGTGGACAGTCAGGTATGTGCCACTGAGCACCAAGATGACAAGGAAAGGCAGGCCTGACCTCTGGCTCGCCCAGTCCCCAAAGGGAGCCTTTCTCCTCCCCACCTGGTCCCCTCTGTCTCCTAGGATCCCTGGGGAGGGATGAAATTAGAGTCCCAGTCCTCTGTGCACCCACCCTGATTCAGTGCATCTGGACTGCTAGCCCCTGGCTGCACCCCAACCAAATTCAGTAGATTTGAAGGAGAGGCTCTGAAATCTGCATTTTTTATAATCAAGGACACTGAGGGTCAAGGAAATGAAATGACTTGCCCAAGGCTCTGTAAGGGAGCCCTGGTAGCATAGTGGCTAAGGTACTTGACAGCTAACCAGAAAGCCGGCAGTTCAAACCCACCAGCCACTCCTCGGAAGGAAGATGGGGCAATTTACTTCCATAGTGATACTGCCACGGAAACCCAAGGAGGGGTCGCTATGAGTCAGGTCCGACTCGACGGCACATAAAAACAACAACAACAACAACAAGGCTCTGTAAACTTTCACCAACCCTCCTTGGGTCATAAGTCTTCGTGTTGCTCCAACAACTAAGTTTCATTTGGTTGATGAGGGTCCCCTAAAGCTTTTTATTTTTATTTTTTATTTTTTGTGGAAATGCCCCATGAATACCATTGGCTTGACTCTGCATTTGTTCATTTCAGCAAGGTCCCCCCCCCCCAAATTATCTCAGGTGCTCAGGAAGTGTAGTGCCTGTGCCCTTATCAAAGGCCAGGTCTTGGGCTGGATGGACTGTGGGCTGCAACCAGGGGTCAAGCTGGCCAGTGTCCCAATGGTGACCTACTCCAAATCTCCTGATATGTCCACCTCCACATCGTAGATTTGGCTGTTGCAGCTGGAAGCAGTGACTGTGGGCCTTCCGGAAGGCTCGCTGTCCAAGAGAAGGTTGACCGAAATGGTGATGCCTTTGACATGCACGTCAAAGGAACCTCGTAGTTTCCTGGAGGAGATAGAGAAGCAATGGTTGATTCCTACACCAGGGTCTGTCACCGTGTGCGTGTGTGTGTGCGTATGCGTGTGTGTGTGTGTGTGTGTGTGTGTGTGAATATAGAGCTCAATGAAGCCATACGAGGTTTAGAAGAAAGCTCAGTTATTTAGGCTCAAGGATGGGCGAATGGCTTCTTAGGCAGGATTCGACTCTCAGAATCCATAAAGGAAATGGCTGATAAACTTGCCAGCATAGAAAATTAAAACTTCAGTGAACAAAATATGTCATATGCCAAGTAAAAAAATGAAATTTGCATTATAAGCCAGCAAAAGAGCTAATGTCCTTCGTATATGGGTTAATTTTCTGAAGATACAAAGAGCAGGCCTATATAAAAATAAGAAAAGGACAAAGTCACGTAAAAGGAAACAAAAAAAGAGATCAAAGATATGAACACTAAGTTCAACGGCAAATAAGCATATGAAAAGCTATTCAAAACAGAAATAACAAAGATGTCACTTTTCACCTATCAGATTGCTAAAAAAAAAATTTTGAAGTCTTTGATGATACCCATTGCTGGTGAAGATATGGATAAACAGAAGTCTGTAGTAGGGATGCACTGTTCTTTTTTTCTTTTATTGTCTTTAAAATTACCATTTTTATTGTAAAAGTACCATGTTCTGTTGAAAATCATTAGAACATACAGAAGCTCATTAAGAAGGAAGTAAAACCACCATGATGAAAACCACTGTTAGACTTTGATGTTCCTCTTCCGGTCCTTCCCAAGCATCTGCGGATGTGATGTCATGTATGCTGGCTTTGTTACCGGCTTTTCTGAGCTAGCAGCACAGGGAGGCGCTGTCCTTGGGAGACGACATTGGCACAACTTTTCTGCAATCCAAACTGGTGGGATCTATCCTAATTTTGGAGTCCTTGGGTGGCGGAATCCTTGAAGCACTTGACAACTGACAAGAAGGTTGGTGGTTCCAATTCGCCCAGAGGCACCTTCTGAGCCAGGCCTGGTGATCCATTTCTGGAAGGTTCTTGAAAAGCCCATGGAACAGTTATACTCTGCACACGTGGGTTTGCCATGAGTTGGAGTCAACTTGACGGCAACTGACAACTACAACAACAGCATCCTGATTTTAGGATGAGCAGCGATGGTTCAGTGGTGGGATTCTTGCCTTCCATGAAGCACACTCAGGTGCATTCCTGGCCAGTGCTCCTCACGGGCAGCCACCACCCATCTGTCCAGGAGACTCATGTGCTGCTGTGACACTGAATGCGTTTTGGTGGAGCTTCCAGACTAAGAAAGACTAGAGAGAAAAGTTTGGAGAACTACTGCCGAAAATCAACTGGTAAAAATATTATGGATCCTAATGGACTAATCCCCAAGTGCATGGGGATGGCGCAGGCCAGACGGCATTTCATCCCATGGTGCACGAGGTCACCATGAGTAGGGGGCTAACTCAACAGCAGTTAGCAACAACAATGACAGGAATATACCGGAGCCAGGAAGGATGGCGTGAAGGCCATGGCCCAAGGGCCTGAGAGCCAGGGACCTGAGTCAACTTACACGAATGCCTTGCGCACCTTCCACTTGCCCTGGACCCGGATGAAGGAGTCGGAGATGGCCAAGCTCAGGCCCTGGCTTGGGAGGGGCTTCAGAGCAGAGCTGCCCAGCTCACAACTGTGGATGTTCAGGCTGCAGGGAGAGCAGGTGGGGAAGGCATCAACCTGGGTCCTGGGCCCAGCCTCTCCAGAAACACTGTCCCTGCCTTTGCACCTCCCCCAACCCCTTGTGGGGACTAGGCTAGGCCCCGATTTCAGGCAGGCATCTGGTTTTGCCCACTTACGGAGCACCTGCTGTGTGCCAGGTATTGACCATCTCATGCATATGTCATTTAGGCCTCATGCTAGGCCTAGGAGGGAGGTAAGCACAAGTCTTCATCCTCTTTCACAGACAAGGAGATGGCACTTCAGAGAAGGTCTGCATATTGCACATGGTCAAGGGGAGTCAGGTGGAGACCCCACAGACCTCATGCTCTGGGCGGGATGCTGAGAAAAGCCATAGACACACCCCTTTGGGTACTATGACTCCTTTCCCTGACCATCCCTTCCGTCACACATCCAGGGAGAAAGAGCAGAGTCAGAGAAGGCTGAGGGTGGCCTTGAGAGAAGACACAAAAAGAGCTGGCAGGGGGGTGGTCAGTGGAAAGAGAATGTCCAAGTTACACCCACTTTCTTCGCCTGGCATATAGTAGGTGTTCAATCAATAAGTATTTGCTGATGGACTGACTGCATGAGAGGAGGGAATGAACGAAGTAATCAAGGGTAGTGAGCAGGAGGTGCGTGATGAGCTGTGGGCCAGATTGCTCTCCTTCCATTGCCCACCCCTCCACAAATCTTTCATATCTTTTTCTAGGAAGCCTTACCTGACTCCCCCAGATGTACAAGCCTCAGCTCTCACAGCTGGACTGCTTATACTTAAAGTTTGAGATCTATCTTCCTTTCCAGACTGTATCTAGTGACAAGACTGGAACCTGGATTATCACCCTGAAGATGGTATCAATATCACCCCCATTTTACAGATTAGGAAACTGAGGCTCAGGAAACACAGCTAGTAGGACTTCATTAATATTTGTTGCATGAATGAATGGAGGAGCTCAATTTCCTCCCAGACTGTCCCTCTGAATTCCTCCCGGGCAGAATCTATCCCACCATCTGGCCCAGAGAAGCCCCTGGACCCAATCTTGGGGCCCCAGGAGAAACGAGAGCCCACCTGTTGAACTCATACTTCACATTGCCCAAGGGCTGGATCCTGAAGTCCCCGGTGAAGTCGGGCAGTGTGATCCTCTGTAACTCCCTCTGCAGAGCCAACAGCCCCTCCTTGGCGGCTGTGGACAGGAGAGAGCTGGGAGTCAGCCTAGCTGGGCTGATTTCCTCTGCTGCTCTAAACCCTTCCGTGGCTCCCACCTACCCTCTGGAGAGAGGTCAAATTCTTTTAAAATTTATTTTAATATATATATATATGTTTTTGTTTGAAAATATATACAGCAGCACACACCAATTAAACCATTTCTAAGTATACAATGTAGTGGCATTGATTACATTCTTCAAGTTTTGCAACCCCAATGTCACTCTCCTTTTCCAAATGATTCCTCTCCAATAACATAAACTCACTGCCCCCTAAGCTTCCTACCTAAACTTTTGGGTTACTGTTGTCAGTTTGATCCCATACAGATAGTGCTTTAAAAAAGCACAATGCTCAAGGCAGACATTTTTACTAATTAAGCTAGACTGTTGTTTGGTTTAAAGAAGACTTCTAGGGATATGTTTGGTTTAAGGTTTAAAGTTTATCTCAGGGCAACAGTTTTGGGATTCATCCACCCTCCATGGCTCCAGAAAGTCTGGATTCCATGAGAGGTTGAATTCTTTATTAGCATTTGTCTTAGTTTTCTACTGCTGCTAAAACAGAAATACCACAAGTGAGTGTTTTGACAAACAGAAATTATTTTCTCACAGTTTGTTGTTGTTATGTGCCGTCGAGTCGGCCCCAACTCATAGCGACCCCTCCTTGGGTTTCCGAGGCAGTATCACTACGGAAGTAGATTGCCCAACTTTCCTTCCGAGGAGTGGCTGGTGGGTTTGAACCGCTAGGCTTCTGGTTACCAGTCAAGTGCCTTAGGCACTATGCTACCAGAGCTCCTTCTCCCAGTTTAGGAAGCTAGAAGTCTGAATTCAGAGTGCCAGCTCTAGGGGCAAGCTTTTGCTCTGTGTCAGCTCTGGAGGAAGGTTCTTGTCTCTTTAGCTTCTGCTTCCTGGTTTCTTGGAAATCTCCATGTGTCTTGGCAACTATCTTACCCTATCCCCTCTTACTAGCTTGAGTTTAATCTCTTTTATATCTCAAAAGAGACTAACTCAAGATACAACATACACTAATTCTGTTTCATTAACATAACAAAGACAACCCATTCCCAAATGGGATTATAACCACAGACATAGAAGGAGATACAACACATATTTTGGAGGGCACAATCCATAACAGCATTAATCACAGTTACAGATTATTGTGCTCCTCTTGTGTGCCAGGTAGCATGAGACACCCTCAGGGACATCCTTACAACTCATGCTCAGGCTATATGTTTGTGCCCATTTTACAGATGAGGACATAGAATGGCTTTACCAACAACTCCACAAGGGGAGGAATGATGTGAGCTTGGGTGTGTGGTTCTCTTTTCTATCCTCTATCATGCCTTGCTGGTGAAGAAGAAACTGCAGTGATTTTAGGGCTAGGTGGGGTTAGGATCCTGATCTTGGCACCTTTCTAGCTGGGTGACCTTGGGAAAGTCCCCAAACCTCACTTTCTCCATTTGTCAATGATAACAATACTTTCCTCACTGAGGTGGCACAAGGGATAAAAAGATGATCATTGCAAAGCGAAAAGGAAGTTGAGAGGATGAAGTGCACTCCTAGCTTGGTGCATCAGGGCTTCTATTAGCAATAAATGAATAAAACCCCAAATGCCCAAGCTTAGAGGATTGGTTGAATACATATGGTACATTCACACAGTTTGAAGGAACAAAGAGACAAACTTTCCTGATTTCAGGTTTTAATATAAACAGCTTTCATTAGGCCCCATTGTTTGTTCTGAGATTTGAGGGACCCAGACTTCTGCTCTCAAGGAGATTATGTGTACACAGAGGGCCAATGCTCTCTGCCTATGACTGACCTCCCTTTCACCCCTCTTCAACTGGCAGTCCTTCCTCTAGCCAAACAAAACTCCTGCAGGACTTTGCCCGTGCTGGTCCCTCTGCCTGCATGCTAGTCATTGCCTCCATTAACTCACTCCAATTGCCTTTTCCATCTCAGCTCAGATATCACTTCCTCTAAAAAGACTTTCTTCATTTATCTCCTACTCCCAGCTAGTCTACTCTCCCAATAGCCTGAGGGAATGTTATTAGGCCACTTATCAGATAAGGTCATTGAGGATCCACCAATGTGAACAGCAAATGCTGTCAGTGCCTCTCCAAGTCCCTGGGTCCTTTCCCTGAGTGACAGCCGACTCCTGGCTGCCAGATCTGCCTCTGTGAGCCTGAGGCTCTCTGTCCTGGAACTGCAGCAAGGCAAGGCTTGGGGCAGGACAGCCACCCTCAGCTGTCAATCAATTACTTTTGGAGCGGTGTACGAATACCCAGCTCCCTTGTCCCTTGGATAGGATAATTCCCAGGATTTTGTTTGTCTGTTTTATTTTAAAATAGCCCTATTTTCCCTTTTTTTTTTTTTTTTCAAATTGAGAATTAACATGCATAAAGTACCTAAAATGCACTGTAAAGCTAAATACTTTTCCTGTCACTCAACTGTCAGTTTGTCAGCCTGTGGTAGCTTGTGTGTTGCTGTGATACTGGAAGCTAAGCTACTAGTATTTAAAATACCAGCAGGGTCACCCATGGAGGACAGGTTACAGAACAGCTTCCAGGCTGAGACAGATTAGGAAGAAGGAGCTGGCAATATGGTTTGAAAAAAATTGGCCACTGAAAACCTGAAGAATAACAGTGGAACACTGCCTGATAATAGTGCTGGAAGATGAGGCCTTCAGTGTGGAAGGCACTCACAATATGACTGGGGAAGAGCTTCCTCCTCAAAGGAGAGTTGATCGTAATAACATGGATGTTGTAAAGCTCTCAGGACCATCATTTGCTGACGTGGCATGACTCAAAATGAGAAGAAACAACTGCAAACATCCATTAGTAATTGGAACATGGAATGTACAAAATATGAAACTAGGAAAATTGGAAATTGTCAAAGTGAAATGGAACACACAAAGATTGATATCCTAGGCATTAGTGTGCTGAAGTAGCCTGGTACTGGCCATTTTGAATGAGACCATCAAATGGTCTACTATGCTAGGAATGAAAGATTGAAGAAGAATGGTGTTGCATTCATCATCAAAAAGAATATTTCAAGATCTATCCTGAAGTACCATGCTGTCAGTGATAGGATAATATATATAATGCTTACAAGGAAGACCAATTAATACAACAGCTATTCAGATTTATGCCAAAGATGAAGAAATTGAATATTTTTTACCAATTTATGCAGTCTGAAACTAATGAAGCATGCAATCAAGATGTGTTGATGATTATTGATGATTGGAATGTGAAAGCTGGAAAAAAAGAAAAAGGATTGGTAGCTGTAAAATATGGCCTTGGTGATAGAAACGATACTTGAGATTGCATGATAGAATTTTACAAGACCAACAACCTGTTCATTACAAAGACTTTTTTTCAACAATATAAGTGGAGACTATACATGTGGACCTCACTGGATGGAATACACAGGATGGAATTTCACATTTGTGAAAGGAGCTCTAGTAGTATAGTGCCTAAGGCACTTGATTGCTAACTAGAAGGCTGGGGGTTCAAACCCACACGCCACTCCTCAGAAGGAAGGTTGGGCAATCTACTTCCGTAGCGATACCGCCTTGGAAACCCAAGGAGGGGGTCGCTGTGAGTCGGGTCTGACTCAATGGCACATAACAACAACAACAACACATTTGTGAAAAGAGGTGATGGAGAAGCTCAATATCATCAGTCAGAACAAGGCCAGGGGTCAACTGCAGGGCAGACCATCAACTGCTCATATGCAAGTTCAAGTTGAAGCTGAAGAAAATTAAAACAAGTCCAGGAGAGCCAAAATATGAACTTGAATATATCCCACTTGAATTTAGAGACCAGCTTAAGAATAGATCTGATGCATTGAACACAAAAATGACCAAAGACTAGACAAGTTGCTGGACGATGTCAAAGACATCATACATGAAGAAAACAAAAGGTCATTAAAAATACAGGAAAGAAGGAAAAGGCCAAAATGGATGTCAGAAGAGCCTCTGACACTTGCTCTTGAATGTAGAATAGCTAAAATGAAAGGAAGAAAAGATGAAGTAAAAGAGCTGAACAGATTTCAAAGGGTGGCTGGAGAAGACAACGTAAAGTATTATAATGAAGTGTGCAAAGACCTGAAGTTAGAAACCAAAAGGGAAGAACACATTTGGTATTTCTCAAGATGAAAGAACTGAAGGAAAAATTTAAGACTTGAATTGCAATATTGAAGGATTCTTATGGGCAAAATACTGAATGATGTAGGAAGCATCAAGAGAAGTTGGAAAGAATACACAGAGTCATTGTACAACAAAACAAAACAAAACAACAACAACAAAAAACTGGTCAATGTTTAACCATTTCAGTAGGTAGCATATGATCAAGAACTGATGATACTGAAGGAAGAAGTCCAAGCTGCCTTGAAAGTATTGGTGAAAAATAAGTCTCCAGGAATTGACAGAATACCAATTGAAATATTTCAACAAACGGATGCAATTTTAGAAGTGCTTACTTGTCTATGTTAAGAAATCTGGAAGACAGCTATCTGGCCAACCAACTGGAAGAGATCCATATTTGTTGCCCATTGCCTAGAAAGGTGATCCATCAGAATGTGAAAATTATTGAACAGTATCACTAATACTATTGTTGTTGTTGTTATGTGCCATCGAGTCAGACCTGACTCATAGAGACCCCTCCTTGGGTTTCTGAGGTGGTATCTCTATGGAAGTAGATTGCCAAATCTTCCTTCTGAGGAGTGGCTGGTGGGTTTGAACCGCCAGCCTTCTGGTTAACAGTCAAATGCCTTAGGCACTACACTACCAGAGCTCCTAAATTTAGAAGAGGAGGTGGAATTAGGCATATCATTGCTGATGTCAGATGGGTTTTGGTTGAAAGCAGAGAATACCAGAAAGATGTTTACCTGTGTGTTTATTGACTGGGAAAAGGCATTTGACCGTGTAAATAATAACAAATTGTAGCTAACACTGTGAAGAATGGGAATAATAAAACAGTTAACTGTACTCATGTGAAACCTGTACATAAGTTATAAGGCAGTTATTTGAACAGAACAAAGGGATACTGCATGGTTTAATATCAGAAAAGGTGTGGGTCAGGTTATATTCTTTCACTATACTTATTTTGCTGAGCAAATCATTTGAGAAGCTAGACTATGTGATGAATGTGGCATCAGAATTGGAGGAAGACTCATTAACAATCTGTAATATGCAGATAACGCAACCTTGCTTGCAGAAAGTGAAGATGACTTTGAAGCATGTATTGATGAAGATCAAACACTACAGTCTTTAGCATGGATTACATCTCAACATAAAGAAAACAAAAATCCTCACAACTAGACCAACAAGCGACATAATGATAAATAGAGAAAACATCAAAGTTGTCAAGGATATAATTTTACTTGGATCAATACCCATGGAAGCAGCAGTCAAGAAATCAAATGATGTATTGCATTGGTTAAATCTGCCACAATAGACCTAAAGTGTTGAAAACAAAGCAAAGATGTCACTTTGAGACTAAAGTGCATCTGACCCAAGCCATGGTATTTTCAATTGCCTCACATGCATTCAAAAGCTGGACAAGGAATTGGGATGATCACAGAAGAACTGATGCATTTGAATCACAGTGTTGGCAAAGAATATAGAAAATACCATGAACTGTCAGAAGAATGAACAAATCTGTCTTGGAAGAAGTGCAGTCAGAATGCTCCTTAGAATTGAGGATGACAAGACTTCATCTCACATATTTTGGACAGGTTATCAATAGGTCCAGGGCCCAAAGAAGAACATCACGCTTGGTAAAGTAGAGGGTCAGCGAAAAAGAAGACCTTCAATGAGATGGTTTGATACAGTGGCTGCAACAATGGGCTTAAACATAGTGACAATTGTGAGGATAGCCCAGGACTTGGCAGTACTTCATTCTGATATAAATAGGGTTGCTATGATTTGGAGCCAAGCTGATGGCACCTAAAGACAACAAAATACTGTTCACAGTTTTTATACACCCATATTACCACTCCTGAGATCAAGAGTCAACACATTCCCTTCCCCCTTGTGGGCTCCCTAGTATCTCTTCCTGGTCTACCTCCCTAGTATCTCTTCCTGGTCTACCTCTCCAGATGGAGGCACTATTCTGGTGTTAAGGCAAGGAGACCTGGTAGCACAATGGTTAAACACTTGGCTGCTAACTGCAAGGTAGGTAATTCGAACCCACTCATTGGTTCTTCGAGGGAAAGAAAGATCTGGAGATCTGCTCCCGTGAAGACCGCAGCCTAGAAGACCCTATGGGGCAGTTCTGCTCCATCGTGTGGGGTCAACATGAGTCAGAATCCACTCCATGGCACTCAACAACAATAAACCAAACTCACTGCCATCGAGTTGTTTCTGGCACGTTGCAAACCCTCCTTGGGTTTCCGAGGCAGTATCTCTATGGAAGTAGATTGTCCAACCTTCTTTTGGAAGAGTGGCTGGTGGGTTTGAACCGCCAGCCTTCTGGTTAGCAGTCAGATGCGTTAGGCACTGCACTACCACATAGGTTTTTTAAAACATTTAAAATTTTGTTGTGGTTGAGAATATACACAGCAAAACATACACCAATTCAACAGTTCCTACACGTACAATCTATGACATTGGTGACATTCTTTGAGTTGTGCAACCATTCTCACCCTCCTTCTCTGAATTATTCCTCCCCATTAACCTAAACTCACTGCCCCCTAACTTTCCTATCCAGTCTTTCCAGTCACTATTGTCAATTTGGGGAGGTCTGGTAGCGTAGTGCCTAAGGCACTTGACTGCTAACCAGAAGGCTGGCGGTTCAAACCCATCAGCCATTCCTTGAAAGGAAGACAGGGCAATCTACTTCTGTAGTGATATTGCCTCAGAAACCCAAGAAGGGGTTGCTATGAGTCGGGCCCGACTCGAGGGCACATAACAACAACAACGACATTGTCCATTTGATCTCATACAGATAGATCTTAAAAGAATACAATACTCAAGGCAGACATTTTGTTGTTAAGCCAAACTAGTGTTTGGTTTTAAGATGGTTTCAGGGAATATGTTTGGTTTAAGATTTAAAGATAATCTCAGGGCAATAGTTTCAGGAGTTCATCCAGTCTCCATAGCTCCAGGAGGTCTGGGGCTCAAGAGAATTTGAAATTGTGATTTCCCCCTTTTGATCAGGTTCTTTCTATAGAATCTTTGATCAAAACGACAACAGTTTTAATGAATGTGTTTTGATACGTTACCAAGAATTTTGCCAGTGGGATTGTTCCAGCCACCTGAGGTGGTAGCTGGTTTAATAACTTCCTTTTGCTGCCTTTCCTTCCCCATCTTACTTCCTCTCTCTCTTAGGGTGTTTCCTGGAATCACCTGCCCAGTGGTATTTCCTGGAATCACGTCTCCTTTCCCCTGAGGTATTCCCTGGAATCACTTGCACCCAAATACTTGTCTTGAGGTCTGCTTACGGGGAACCCAAACTAAGACTAGGAACTTTCCCAACTTGTACAACGGGTGTGTGATGAAGCCACAGTCATAGCCAAGGCTGCCTAACTCAGAGGCTGCACCACCCAGGGGACAGTGCCCAGTCTGGACCCCCATGTACCCGACCAGCCCAGTGCCAGGCAGGTCAGTCAAGTTCAGCCCAACACTGCAGGTTCTTACCATACTCCAAGCCTTTGTCAGTAATCCTGGCCACCAGGCCGGGGTTGGCGCTGTGGGCCCTTGGGGTGGAGGTGAGCAGCAACCCTAGCAGTAGACAGGGCAGGGCCCCAATCCAGGACCCCATCCTGGGTTCCCGGTGGGTCAGGGTAGGATGTCAGACTGCAGGCTGGGCCCTTAAGTAGTCACAGCCTGAGGCTGGGGCAGCTCCCGGAGGAGGGCCAGTCACTGGGAGCGGGAAAAGGGAGGCACAGGGACAGGAACTGTGCTTGCGACATGATTGGGATCACAGGTCGTGCTTGGAAGCCTGTTGTTGTCACTCCAGGTTAGAGGGCAGGTTGGCCTCAAACGACAATCGCAGCCCATACTTCCTACAAAAGGACCCCGCATTCATCCCCGGAGGTTTGCCTCACCTCTTAAGAGCCCAGCCAGGCAGGCCTGGTTTTACACAGGAGCAAACAGACTGAGAGAGCCCTCACTTGCTTAAGAGCACACACCCGGCAGGTGGCATACCTGGGAACCAAAGCCAGGTCTGGCACCATCCAAATTCTCTCTTCTCTATACTCAACTCTGTTTATTTGAAAAAGAAATCTTTTTTTCCCCACATGGGCAAACAGGCTCTCTCAAACCTGACTGGTGGCAACATTTTCTGGAAGTGACTTGGCAAAGTTTTTAACACCTGCACACCCACCAGCCACTCTTGGAAAGGAAGGTTGGGCAATCTACTTCTGTAGTGATACTGCCTCAAAATCCCAAGGAGAGGTTGCTATGTGTCAGGTTCGATTCGCGGCACACAACAACAACTACAGCACACCCTGTGACCCAGTGATTCTACTTCTGGGACTTGCTTCTAAGTGCATATCTAATGTAGTGTTCAGATATGTCACTACACTAACATGTTGATTTCTGCTGTCTGTGAATCAGGCAAGGGGAAAAAGGGATGCAACCCCAAGTGTCTGACAAAGGGCATCGGTTAAACCAGTTATGATACAGCTATTTAAAGTGAGGCTGTGGAAATAAATATAGTTTTTGATAAGAGATGCTCGTGGGTGGTTAGCTAAGCCTTCGCCAGATCCAGACGGCAGTATAGCAGTCACCCGCGCCGCAGTCCATTTCATTCACGGTGGGGAGGAAACCAGGCTCCACTGGGCCGCCCCGTTGTTGTTGTTGTTGTTGTTATGTGCCGTCGAGTCAACCCGACTCATAGCAACCCCTCCTTGGGTTTCCGAGGCAGTATCACTACGGAAATAGGATTGCCCAACCTTCCTTCCGAGGAGTGGCTGGTGGGTTTGAA